AGAACATGGTCCAATGCTCCAAGTGGACCTGAGTTGGCAGTTGCTGTTCAATCCACTCGGCGACGAAATCCGCAATTGCCTGGGACTTGATAGCTTTCTTTGCCTCAAACTTGATATCTAGAGGGAGGAGTTCAATCACCCATTTTGCCACTCGACCAGTTGCATCCCTGTTATGCAAGATCTCTGACAACGGAGCGTTGCTGACGACTGTAATGGAATGATCAAAGAAGTAGTGGGCAACTTTCTTTGTGGTCATATAAATCCCATATACGAGCTTCTGATAATGAGGATATCTTTGCTTCGATGGGGTCAAGACTTCAGAAATATAATACACCGGGCGCTGAACTTTGAAGGTTTTCCCTTCTTCTTCCCGCTCGACCGTGAGTACCGTACTAACGACTTGTCCTATGGCTGCAATGTAAAGCAGCAAACACTCCTTGCTGATCGGGGCAGCAAGCACCGGCTGGGTGGAGAGCAGAGCTTTGAGTTCTGCGAACGCTGCGTCAGCTTGGGGAGTCCACTCAAACTTGTCAGACTTCTTCATCAATCGGTAAAGAGGTAATGCCTTTTCACCGAGACGAGATATGAATCGACTTAGGGCGGCCAAGCAACCAGTAAGCTTCTGAACATCGTGCACTCGCACATGACTTTTCATTCGGAGTATAGTACCAACTTTTCCCGGATTGGCGTCGATTCCCCGTTCGGAAATGAGAAAACTGAGTAACTTTCCGCCAGGAACCCCGAATGTGCATTTTGATGGATTAAGCTTGATATCAAACCTTCTGAGGTTGGCAAAGGTTTCAGCAAGGTCAGTCAGCAGGTCGGAACCCTTCCGTGACTTGACCACAATATCATCCATGTACGCCTCTACATTCCGACTGATTTGGGTGAGCAAACACTTCTGAATCATCCTCATGAATGTGGCTCCGGCATTCTTGAGGCCGAATGGCATGGTAACATAACAGAAGCACCCGAATGGAGTGATGAAAGCTGTTTTGATCTCGTCAGGTCCATACAGACGGATCTGATGGTACCCGGAATAGGCGTCTAAAAAGACAGTCGCTCACATCCCGCAGTCGAGTCGACTATCTGGTCGATGCGGGGGAGAGGAAAATGGTCTTTCGGGCAGGCCCGATTCATATGTTTAAACTCAATGCACATGCGAAGTGACTTGTCCTTCTTGGGGACCATGACAACATTGGCGAGCCACTCGGAGTGGTAGATTTCTCGGATGAACTCTGCCGCTAAGAGCCGAGCTACCTCTTCGCCAATGGCCTTTCTCTTCTGGACGACCGTCGGAGATGTTCCTTGACAGGTTTTATTTTTGAGTCGACTCTCAGGCGATGCTGAGCCAGCTCCCTGGGAACACCTGGCATGTCAGAAGGCTTCCATGCGAAAATGTCCCAGTTCTCACGGAGGAACTGGATGAGCGCTTCTTCCTATTTGGAGTCGAGTGTTGTCGAGATATGAGTCAGAGCAGCGCCGGGATCGGTCGGGTGGATGTGAGCTATCTTCGCATCGCTAGTTGACTGAAAAGCTGATTCTGTGGCGGGCTTCTTGGCTCGCAACAAATCACTCGGGTCTGCAGTCTTCTGGTATTCCTGCAATTCCACCACTGCCATCTGAGCATCAGCGATCTTCGAACCTTTCTGAAAACATTCTTCCTCTTTTTTTCGATTGCCCGTAATAGTGATCACACCTTTGGGGCCAGGCATCTTCAATTTGAGATACACATAACATGGTCGGGCCATGGAGCGTGCATAAGCCGGCCTGCCCAAAATAGCGTGGTAGGCACTCTGGAAGTCTACAACTTCAAACGTCAACTTTTCTTTGTGGTAATTCTTGGAATAACCAAAAACCACATCAAGAGCAATCTGGCCAAGTGATTCAGCCTTCTTCCCAGGAATGACTCCATGGAAACTCATGTTGCTGGCACTGAGTCTGGACATAGGAATGCCCATCCCTTTCAATGTCTCAGCATATAATATGTTCAAATCACTGCCACCATCCATCAAGACTTTGGTCAGTCGAGTGCCTTCAGCCACTGGGTCGACCACCAGAGCTTGCCTCCCAGGGGTGGCAATATGCGTTGGGTGATCGGACTGGTCGAATGTGATGGCAGTCTGAGACCATTTCAAATAACTTGGTGTTGCCGGAGCAACCATATTCACCTCTCGGTTGATGACTTTCAGTCGACTTTTGCTCTCAACATCAGCAAAAATCATCAGGGTGGAATTGACTTGGGGGTATCCATCGTCGCTATCTTCTTTGTCCTCAATTTTTTGACTCCTTTTCTTTATCTTTGAGCTGCTTGCCCTGGAACTGCTGGATCAAGAGTCGACACTGTCGAGTGGTATGTTTCGGGTAAATGAAATTACCCTCTTCATCTTTCTTTGTGTGGACGAGGCATGGCAAGTCCAACACATCATTTCCGTCCTGGTCTTTAACCTTTTTAGGGTTCCAAGGCCCTTTAGGTTTCCCTTTAAACTTTCCTTGGGTTAAAGCCAAGGCTTCCCCGGGAGCCGCTGGCTCGGCTTTCCGCTTCTGCTTCCGATTGGACCCCGGGTTCTTAGGCGACTGACTTGAGTTTGCCACTCCTGAGCCGATCTTCATCTTTGCCATTAGCGTACTTGGTGGAAATCTCCATCATCCGATTCAGGGACATATCCCTAGTTTGACCGAATTTCAAATTCAGTTCTCTGTACTTGACGCCTTCCTTGAAGGCACAAACTGCTTGGTGGTCAGGAACATTCTCGACCGAGTGATGTAACGTGATCCACCTCTGGATATAATCTCTCAAAGTTTCATTTGACTTCTGTACACACGACCGCAGTTCCATCAGTCCTGCCGGCCGCTTGCACGTACCTTCAAATGTGGTGACGAACACTCGGGAGAGATCCTCCCAAGTGTAAATGCTGCTAGGTGCTAACTGGTTCAGCCACGCTCTAGCCGAGCCCTCCAACATGAGAGGGAGGTGCTTCATGGCCACTTCATCATTTCCGCTGCCGATCTGGACGGCCACTCGGTAATCTTCAAGCCAAGTATCGGGCTTGGACTCGCCAGTGAACTTACTGACTCCAGTCGCCAACCTGAAGTTGGGAGGAATCACAGCGGCCCTGATGGCCCTACTAAAGTATTCTGGCCCCGAAACATGCACTCTGCTGCTGGTAGGTGCATCTCTATCGTGACCTTCTCGGTGAGCCCTGTTCCTGTCGACCAAACCCTGGACGAGAATGGATCTCGCGTCGAAGCCTGGCCCTTTGGGGTCGACTGGAATCCTTCGCCCACCACTATGAGGGCGCCTGTCATCCTGCTGGCGAGGCACATACGACCCGCTCCTCGGAGGAGGCGTGGGCACTCGACGTCGACTGTCACGATCGACTCGGTGATCATACTGCTCATGGTTCCCATACTAGTCACGCCGGTCTCCACGTCCCTCACGCCTCGGGGGCGATCTCGGGCTATGAGCCGACTGGACTGTGTCCGCGGTAACGGATCTGCTGTGAATCCTATTCCACGACTGAGATACGGCGGAATTCTGATCTCCTGCTGCCCAGAGTAACGCTCTGATCTGCAGCAAGCCTCTGCCAGCCTCCGACTGGGAAGGCTGAATCGACTCTGCTATGCGAGCTACAGCTGCTAAATTCTGAATCGGAGTTCGATATACCTGCGGGGGCGGGAAGAGCTGACGTCGACTGGATTCGGGAATCCGTTGTCGTGCACGCTCGTCGAGTGCTCGCTGGAGGTTCTCTAGTCGAGTGCGCTCGGCTAAGTTTGCCAGGCACGCGTCCTCCAAGGCGCGAGCCTCGGGGGTCTCTCCAATGATAGGAGTGTGTAGTGCATCATGTTCCGGCGGCGAAGTTCTTCTCTCTGCAGCGATGTGAGAGGCTCGGGAAGATACTGCTCATGGAGACGCGACGGGTCGCCTCCACCCACGCCTCCGTCGGTACTGGGAAAACCGGGAGGACTGGGCGGTCCATCGACCATCAGAACCTCCGCCGCCAGATTGCTGCTGCTGCACTCGGATGCGGTCTCTGCGGAGCCAGTCGACAGGTCGAACAGGCCATACAGGGATTCGTCGGGCTCGATCGCCGCGACCTGGGGGGTGGCCGACTGACGCGCCACCGCGTGCCTCACCCACCGCTGAAGCCTCGACCGACCGGAATGCTTGCGCCGGCGGGAAATGGGGAGAGAGGACAACACAGGAGCCGACCGATAGGGGGTCGACGGTTGCCGCAGGAGAACGCCGTGGACGCACGCGCTAAAGTGCGTTGCCCCGCGGGCAGGGAGTGAGTCCACGTCGAGCGGAGCCTCTTGGAGTCAAGCAGAGTCGTCGACGATGAACGTGAGCGCGCCGAGACGGATCTCGCGGCCCTCCACCGAAACTCCGCCGAAAACCATGATGATTTGGGTCGGAAAAAGTCGCAACTTCTCCAACAAACGCTAAAACACCAGCCCCACGGTGGGCGCCAACTGTCGTGGTTCTAAGTCTGACAGTAGTGTAGGGGGGTAAGTATGGAGATGCAGGATCTTAGCTGTGGAGAAGTGTAAGCACGCAAGGTTTACGAGTTCAGGCCCTTCTCAGAGGAAGTAATAGCCCTACGTCTCGGAGCCCAGAGGCGGTCGACTGGATTATATGAATATGGGTTACAGAGGTGCCAACCCTTGTCTCGGAGGAGGGGGTGGCTTATATAGAGTGCGCCAGGACCCCGGCCAGCCCACGTTACAAAGGGTTCAATGTACATTAAGGCAGAGCATTACTGGTAACGCTAGTAATAAAGTGCTATGATGACCATAAAAACTACTTAATGACCGACCGTTAGCGTGCGGAGTGACTTCAGGTCTCCTGGCCGTCGAGTGGTTGGATCTTGGTCGAGTTATTGTTTCTTGGTCGAGCGTCTTCGAGTCTGTCGAGTGGAACACCTCCAAGTCGATTGAAAGGTGGTTTCTTCTAGAGATGTCCTTGGGTAGGGCAGTTAGGACAGGTCCATGACCCTACCCTAGGTGCGTAGCTTCATCAGAGGGTACTGCACACCGGCGAAGACGGGCGAGGGCGTGCGCTGGGTCGGGTGTCCATGGGGAAAGGTGACGTTGGGGTTGAACCCATCGTGCGCGTCCCTATCGGCGTAGCCCCGCGACAGCGTGCATCCCCATGGTTGCGGCGATGACGAGAAGCCGAACGGAGAGCCGACGCTTTGCTGGCTCCAGGGTACGTACTGGGCGTGGCCACCTGGTGGATTCATCATCCCCAAGCGAGTCGCCTCGGCCTCGGCTTGGTCCGCCGTAGCCGCGGCGGCACGCGCCACATTGTCACAAGCCTTCTTGGCGATTTCCCTGTTCCGTCGGTCGGCGATGACGGCCTCCCGTCGCTGAACTTCCGCCCTCCACTCGGCGTTTGTCATGCCCGGTGGCTTGGACGGCGGCGGCCTCGGCTTCCTCTGCTTCGGCTGGGCGACAGAGGCGGTCGTGGTGGTTGCAGCGCGGGGGATCACGTACTTCTTCGGCGGCATGGCGGCGGCTGGGAGGCGAGCAGGAGGGAGTTTGGCGGGAGGAAAGGAGAGAATGAGAGAAAAGTGGGGGCCGAGGGCGGGAATAAACGGTGGGAAGAGGCTCTCGACTCGCCGACAGAGTGGCCCCACGCCCTTTTCGCTTGTGCCGGCGCCTCCAGGCGCGCCCCAGCGTGCCGGGTTCGGCCTGAGTCCGCCGTCACTAGTTTCGGTCCGAGCCGGCGAAAAACGGGCTACTGAGAACGCGACTGGACCGAATTTTAGACATCGGCGCGGCAAAAACGCCTGGGAAGGGCCTGTTGGGGCCGCGGCTGGAGATGCTCTTAGTATGAAGGACTAAGTGGCATTGAGATATCTTTATTGGTAATCATGTTCGTATGAATATAATGTTTTTGTTGCGGGTTGAATAGAAGTTATTTAATATCATATGAATCTTTAAAAGATATTATTATCATTTTTATAGGAGTTACTTTTATTTATCTTTTTGAATCTTTGATTTAATGGTTACGTGTATGAATAAAGTTGTAGGTGTTTGTCGAAAGAAAAAAAATAATAAGCTTTGCAAGGATTTCTGGCGGAGAAAAAAACTCGTGGTTGAGAAAACAAACAGACGCTACGGACAAACGCTCTCTACCGCCGGCTGCTGGGTGCTGGCATGAAATTGTCTTCCCCACGATCGAGCACCACTCCAAACTCAACTATAAAAAAATAGAAAAATAGAAAGATAAGGCCAAGTTGCCCCTGCAAACGTCACATTTGTCCGCCAAACAACGATCGACGAGTCCAAACGTGCGCACTTCACGCCTTGCCGCTGTCAGTACGACGACGCTGTGGCAACCAGGTCGTGGTAGAACGCGCGGAACGCCTCCATCTCGCCGCGCGGCAGCGCCAGCCCGACCTCGATGCCGCCGTCCCCGTCGCGGCCGCTCCCCGCCAGCGCCAGCGCGCCCGTCCGCTCCACCGACACGATCTCCACCTTCCGGGGCCGTCCCCACGGCGCTCCCAGGTCCGTCGCCGCGTACACGCCCAGCTTCGGCGACCCGGCCACGGTCACCGCGCGCGCCGACGCGTACTCCCGCACCAGCCGCACCCACCCGCTCGCGTCCCGGAACGCCCGCCCCTGCTCCGCGAGCCCCTCGATCGCCCGCCAGATCGCCGCGGAGGCCGTGGCCACGGTGAGGCCGCCGCTCGGCTTCGCCTCCTTGTCCTCCTCAACGCGGCAGAGCCCCAGGCAGTTGCCGAAGTAGTTTCCCGGCACCGGCGGGGTCGCGCGGGGCTTGCACCCGGTCACGAACCCGAAGCTGGCGCTGCTGCTGCGCGCGTGCACGATGCCTGCCCAGAGAGCACCGCAAGCCAGCGCGTACGGCGAGCACCGCCGCGCCGAGGTCTCGGACTCCACCTGCCTCCCGAGCCCACGGAGCAGCTTCTCCGTGAACCGGAACGTCGCGAGGTCAGCGGCGCCCGGACGTTGAGTGAGGTCCCAGCCGTGGAACCGCTTGCCGCCGGCCGCCTCGAGAGCCCGGTGGTCGCGGAGAAACACCTCGCGGAGCCCGTTCTCGTCTCGCACGACGCTGCGGTCGAACAGCGGGGCTGCGTCCAGCACGGTCCGCTTCCCGCCGCACTCGGGGCCGAGGCGGTGGATGGCGGCCCACGTCCTCATGAAGTGCACGTAGCTGGAACCGTCGGCCACGGCGTGGTGCAGCGTCGTGCCAATGCACAAACCGGCGTGAGGGAACACGGTGAGCTGGACGGCGAATACGTCCTGAGTGCTGCATCGAGAGTCGCCGCCGCCGCCGCCGTGTCTCGGCAGCGAAGGCAGCAGCGGACGGAGCCTCGCGGTGTCGCGCGCGTGGTCGCCGGCGAGGTCCTGGAAGTCGTCGCCGCCGACCGCAACCGTTAGGCGGACAGAGTCGCCGTCCGAGAACACGACCTCGGGCGCCCCGGCCTCCGGTATGCCGCACACCAGCTTCCCCGCCAAGGGATAGAAGTGGTGCAGCGCGGCGGCCAGGGACTTCTCGAACAGGGGCAGCTCGTGGAGGAGGAACTCGGGGGCGCTGAGGAGGTCGGCGTTGTCGTAGAAGAAGAGGCGCTGCACGGGCGGGACGTCCCAGAAGACGAGCTCGAAGAAGGTGAGCTGCAGTGTCCGTGGCTTCCCGGCCGGTGGCAACGGCGACGGCGAGACCTGGCAGTGCTCCAGGACCGTCAAAGGGTTAAGTGGCCCGGGCGCCATGGCGGTCGACCTGACTTCTTAGTTCTTACTTCTCACTATCGATTCCAGCCTGCCTTTTCTCGTAGCCGATGCGTAGTGGAGCCTTTTTAATATGAGTCAATTACACCACAGGTGTCTGAATTTGATGAGAAAAATCAGTTTGGTGCTAAAACTTGCGGGATACATTGAACCGGTGACAGAACTTGGCTTGGGCGTGCATCTACCGTGCTAATCACCTTTGTATACGCATGGTGTGCTGACGAGGAACGCCAACGTGGCACCGGACTCAGCGTCGGTGACTGGAAGGCGGGGAGGAGGGTGGGTGGCCTGGTTTTTGCGGGAAGCACCCTAGAATTTTTTTTCTTCATAGGAAAGCCCCTGAATGAATACCAAATCTTGCAAAAATACCGTGAAACTTAACAACGTCTCTAACCACCGCACCAAGCCTAGCTTGGTGTCAACAGGGGTAGCTATATACACATTTTGTTTTAGGCAAGGCCGCAAGGGTAGCTATATACGTGACTCCACCCTAACAAGACTGCCACGTGGGCCCCAGTGTCAGTGACTGGACAACATAGGCGAGGGCGTGTGTGATGAAATTTTTATTTTCGCACAAAAAAGACCCTCGATTTTTCTTTAAAAAAAATCTGAGACGTCACTATACATCTCTATGACCTTTGGGTCCCATCCCGCAGGATACATTACAAAGATCAAATTGATATGCAAAATATTGTGCCTCACAGGTTCGAACCAAAGACCTGACCCCATCTGGTCGGCTGCCCAAAGGGCCCATTTTCCACGTGTTATTTTTTAAAATTATAAATAATAAATAAAAAGCCGCAAAAATACAAATAAAATAATTTTTATGTAATTCTAAAAAAAATATTGTCTAAATTATTTTTATGTAATTCTAGAAAACATTATTATTTAAAATAATATTCATGTAATTCAGAAAACTGTTCTTATCTAAAGGAATATTCATGAAATTCTAAAAATATATGAAAGTGTTATTTCAAAATGTCTCTATAATTAAAATAGTATTAATGAATTATAATAGTATTTATGAATTATAATAATTTCATGAATCATAGAAATAGTACTAATTTATTCAGAAATATATTCACGTATTCATATTTTTAGGCTATATTCATGCATTAAAAAATATTCAAGTGTTTACTTTATGAGAAATATTAATTATTGAAAATAATGTTCATCTAATTCTAAGAAATATTTATGTGTTATTTGGAAAGATATTTATATAACTAAAATAACAAATATGAATTATAATAGTATTTATCAATTGGAAAAACTATGGTGTGCAAAATGGGGCGCGGTCGCTCCAGGTCATTTAAGCCGCATGTGCTATAGTTATTAAGCACTGCTATCCTGTATAAACATCAACGTGGCGTTGGTGTTGTGGCTATCATGATCGTTTTATTATCCTGAGGTCGCCGGTTCGAACTGGCACTTGGTTTTGGATGTTATAATATCTTTTGTACTGTTTCCGGATGGGTGGGCCCCAAGGGTCATAGAGGTGTACTCACGTTTGAAGGGATTTTCCCAAGATTTGTATTCAGTCAGGGGCTTTTTTGTGAAGAAAAAATAATTCCAGGGTGTTTCCTACAAAAACCAGGCCACACACCCTTCTCTCCGCCTTCTAGCGTATTTAGTCATGGGCTTTTTTGTAAAGAAAAAATAATTCCAGGGTGTTTTCTGTAAAAAAAACAAGCCACACGAGCTTCTTCCCGCCTTCCAGTCAATGACACTAGGTCCCGCGCCACGTTGGCGTGCCGCATCAGCACACCATGCATATACAAACGTGATTAGCATCGTAGATGCACGTCCAAGCCAAGTTTTGTCACTGGTTTAATGTATGCCGCAAGTTTTAGCATCAAACTGACTTTTCTTGCCAAGTTCAGACACCTATGATGTAATTGACTCTTTTAATATCCTGCTCTGCTGCACGCCCATTGCATATCGGACTCGATCAGCCATAATATGTCTTGGAAATTGATCAACACCTTCCAACGTAGGAGTAGTCCCCTCTGGAACAAAATGTAGTACGTTTATTCTTAAAACGTGTTACATTTCTTTTTTTTCGAAAAAACTACCAATCTATTCATCTTCAATCATGGTGGTACAACGAACACCAGAAATAAAAATTACATCCACATCCGTAGACCACCTAGTGATGACTACAAGCACCGAAGCGAGCTGAAGGCGCGCCGCCGTCATCGCCCCTCCATCGCCGGAGTCGGGCAGAACTTGTTGTGGTAGACAGTCGGGAAGTCGTTGCGCTAAGGCCCCATAGGACCAGCACCCCAGAACAGCAACCGCCGCCGATGAAAAATAACATAGATCGGAAGGATCCAAACCGAAGATACACGAACGTAGACGAACAATGACGAGATCCGAGCAAATCCACCAAAGATAAATTTGCCAGAGACACACCTCCACATGCCCACCAACGATGCTAAACGCACTGCCGGAACAGGGGCTAGGAGGGGAGACCTTTATTCCATCTTCAAGGAGCCGCCACCGTCTCGCCTTCCGGAGTAGGACACAAATCCTAACAAGATTGAAAAAATGACTAAAAATGGAGCCCTCCCGTCGGCCCTTGCCAGGATCCACCGCACCTCCACGGCCCTAGAGCCACCGAAGACGAGGCGGACCTGCACCGGCGCCGGCTAGAGGCATGAACCCTAACTTTCTTTCTTGGAGGAGGAGGAGGAGGCGGAGCCCTGGCTCTAAAATGTCTTACATTTTGATACAGAGATTGTACTACATACTTATGATACGTCTCCAACGTATCTATAATTTTTGATTGCTCCATGCTATATTATCTTCTGTTTTGGACATTATTAGGCTTTATTATCCACTTTTATATTATTTTTGGGACTAACCTATTAACCGGAGGCCCAGCCCAGAATTGCTATTTTCTTGCCTATTTTAGGGTTTCGAAGAAAAGGAATACCAAACGGAGTCCAAACAGAATAAAACCTTCGGGAACGTGATTTTTGGAACGAACAAAATTCAGGAAACTTGGACCCTACGTCAAGCAACGAACAGGGAGTCCACGAGGTAGGGGGCGCGCCTACCCCCCAGGCGCGCCCTCCACCCTCGTGGGCCCCATGTTGCTCCACCGACGTACTTCTTCCTCCTATATATACCTACGTACCCCCAAACAATCAGATACAGAGCCAAAACCCTAATCCCACCGCCGTAACTTTCTGTATCCATGAGATCCCATCTTGGGGCCTATTCCGGAGCTCCGCAGGAGGGGGCATCGATCACGGAGGGCTTCTACATCAACACCATAGCCTCTCCGATGAAGTGTGAGTAGTTTACCTCAGACCTTCGGGTCCATAGTTATTAGCTAGATGGCTTCTTCTCTCTTTTTGGATCTCAGTACAAAGGTCTCCCCCTCTCTTGTGGAGATCTATTCGATGTAATCTTCTTTTACAGTGTGTTTGTTGAGACCGATGAATTGTGGGTTTATGATCAAGTTTATCTATGAACAATATTTGAATCTTCTCTGAATTCTTTTATGTATGATTGGTTATATTTGCAAGTCTCTTCGAATTATCAGTTTGGTTTGGCCTACTAGATTGATCTTTCTTGCAATGTGAGAAGTGCTTAGCTTTGGGTTCAATCTTGCGGTGTCCTTTCCCAGTGATAGTAGGGGCAGCAAGGCACGTATTGTATTGTTGCCATTAAGGATAACAAGATGGGGTTTTCATCACATTGCATGAGTTTATCCCTCTACATCATGTCATCTTGCTTAAGGCGTTACTCTGTTCTTATGAACTTAATAATCTAGATGCATGCTGGATAGCGGTCGATGTGTGGAGTAATAGTAGTAGATGCAGGCAGGAGTCGGTCTACTTGTCTCGGACGTGATGCGTATATACATGATCATACCTAGATATTCTCATAACTATGCTCAATTCTGTCAATTGCTCAATAGTAATTTGTTCACCCACCGTAAAATACTTATGCTCTTGAGAGAACCCACTAGTGAAACCTATGGCCCCCAGGTCTACCTTCATCGTATTAAATCTTCCAATACTTAGTTATTTTCATTGCTTTTATTTTACTTTGCATCTTTATCATAAAAATACCAAAAATATTACATTGTCATATCTATCAGATCTCACTCTCGTAAGTGATCGTGTAGGGATTGACAACCCCTTATCGCGTTGGTTGCGATGATTTATTTGTTTTGTGTAGGTGTGAGGGACTCGCGCGTAGCCTCCTACTGGATTGATACCTTGGTTCTCAAAAACTGAGGGAAATACTTACGCTACTTTGCTGCACCACCCTTTCCTCTTTAAGGGAAAACCAACGCAAGTGCTCAAGAGGTAGCAAGAAGGATTTCTGGCGCCGTTGCCGGGGAGGTCTACGCAAAAGTCAACATACCAAGTACCCATCACAAACCCTTATCTCCCGCATTACATTATTTGCCATTTGCCTCTCGTTTTCCTCTCCCCCACTTCACCCTGGCCATTTTATTCGCCCTCTCTCTCTCCATCCTTCGTCTCTTTACCTATTTGCCTCTTTTTGCCCGTTCTTCATTTGCTTGTGTTGGATTGCTTGCTTGTCACGATGGCTCAAGATAACACTAAATTGTGTGACTTTACCAATACCAACAACAATGATTTTATTAGCACTCCGATTGCTCCTCTTACCGATGCTGAATCTTGTGAAATTAATGCTGCCTTGCTGAATCTTGTCACGAAAGATCCATTTTCCGGCCTTCCTAGTGAAGATGCCGCTACTCATCTAAATAGCTTCATTGATTTGTGTGATATGCAAAAGAAGAAAGATGTTGATAATGATGTTGTTAAATTGAAGCTATTTCCTTTTTTCGTTCAGAGATCATGCTAAATCTTGGTTTTCGTCTTTGCCTAAAAATAGTATTGACTCTTGGAATAAGTGCAAAGATGCTTTTATCTCTAAGTATTTTCCTCCCGCTAAGATCATCTCTCTTAGAAACGATATTATGAATTTTAAGCAACTTG